GTGCTTCAGCTGCTCTTCGCTTTTTTAAATCTTCTTTTTCAAATTCGAAAGCGAGTTGTTGATTGACTGCAAGTCGTGCGGCTTCGGCCCAGCACGTGAGTTTCGAAGGGAGACGCCTCTGGGTGACGCTCAAACTCTGATTTCCTGCCACTATCATGAAAATATTCAACGGGAGATGGTGTTCAACTTCGATATGTTCGATGACGGAATCCTATAAGCAGACAAAGAAGTGAAGCTAACTGGTGAATGTCCCAACGCTTTCCTTCCTGAACTTTGCTGCTCTCTCCATCGAAATTTTGCACACAGGAGACGATGATCCAACTCCATGAAGAATCTTCGAGCAACAACGACTCGGCCAGGCGAACTCCAACTGGAGAGTATGTGGTCTACCTCACTACGGGATTGTTCATATGGTGACCACCTTGCAAGCCAAGAAAGTGCTGAAACACCTAATAGAAGAATGGTCGTAACTGAACACATAGCTTTACGACGCTTACATTGTTTTTGTTTTTGCCTAATGCTCTTTTTGAGAGGAAACTCCCACAAAAAAATGAATTAATTGGAATGAGGAGCACTTGGTCAAGCAGGGTTTCTGAGAATGCACATACACAGAAAAACATCGTGAGTGGTTCAAATCCTCCTAAAGCTGCCAACTAATTTAGCGGCGTCCGCACACACTCAATCGATAATAAAACATTTGATATGAATGATACCTACACCTATATTTTTATACGAGTGGGTTGTCCACATAAAACGCACTACGTAAACCAGACCGCCCATGTCCTCTCGATGTTAACATCTACACGACTCAGCCCATTTTTTATTCTTTTCTTATGGAAATCGTCAAATAGACAATGAGGAAAGATGAACGCTGCTGAATGATTAGGACAAAAAGAGAGAGCGGGAAAAAGGGAGAGAGAATTAATTTCCTTTTTATGATGGGCTCTTTGTGATAGTAATCAATTTGCATAAAACTCTGGGGATGCATGACATCCAATAAGAATGTGTTAAAACATGATGAAGACAAATGGAGAATGAGACATACAACGAAGTTCAAGTGATTGCAAGTCGCTGGCGATTGAGCAAGCACAAACCTGAAAATTATTCACTTTGATTGATATCCAAGCTCGACAAAAAAGAAGCCAAGGCATGTTTCAGTGCTTCACGACCGTGACCAGTGCAGGTACATCGAACTTGCACATGGCCGTAATGCTTAAAACGCCCCGTAGGCATCCTCCATAGTTGTGCACGGCCGAGCCATCGGTGTGCCAGAACTTCCCCCTTCCCACCTTCCCCTTATAAAGGCTTAATTAATTAATTGACAAATGGTCATAAGAAAGGATATACCTATGGTAGACTTTTGCGAATTTCAACAACGTATGGGGTATGGTTCGCTAGGCGACTTTTCCGCTTTCCGCAGCGCGAAACATTTCGCTGCGGGAACCCCAGGTCCACTCCTGATCAGTGGTGGACTCGGGGTTCCCGCAGCGAAAGTTTAGCGCGAAATGCGGAAAATCCGCTTTTCTGTGCTACCGCAACTACACGATGTAGTACCATACTTCTGTAAGGCCAATGGTCAGAGTCGCGATCCTTCCGCGATTCGCGCGATCGCAAAATTGCAAGTGCCCCATTTGAACATTTGAAACACTGAATATGAAACAAGTAGAATCATGAACAGTCGTCATTCAACCATCACCATCAAGCAGAAATGGCGGCGGGAATAGGCACCTCGCAGTACTGATCACTCGCGCGTTACGCGCGACCGGATCGCGGACTCTGACACCAGCCTAACAGCTCTAGTCAACGGCCGCACCAAAATTTGCCTCCAAAAACCCTTGTCTAATCAAATCACTCACCTCACAACGGTGGCATGCGAGCGTCCAGGAACGACCGAGACTCCGCAGCAGTAATAATAACGATAAATAACTGACTGATTTCGCATTCAACTAACAAGGCACGCAAGAAACAACAACAACAGAACGGTCAGGGCGTACGCAGACTTTCAAAGCGACGCCAAACGTGTGTCCCACTATTCAACAAAAACACAACACGAGAGAAGAAGAATGACAAAGGGGAGCGCGAAAGGATTATATGAAGAGAGAGAACTCAAAAAAGAGAATAAGATCATGAGCGTCTCTGAACGCCCGCAGAGAATTCACATTAACACACAACTACTACGTGAGAATGAAGAGGATAGGTTGCTGAATTTGAAGAAAAAAAAACATAAATGAATGAAGAAACGAAAGTCGAGATCAGCTACTACCGAAAATTCTATATAACAGATAAATTATTATCTTACTTACGTGTAATCATCGTTACCAATAGCATATACAGAACATTGTGCATAATTATTCAGATGACCTAATCTCATGGCGAAAGTGTCTTCACACTTCAATAAATCATTTAATAACAAAAAATTATGAATGCCAAAGAAATGGGAAAACAACAAAATAGCTACTATAGTCAGTACTACTGCTGTTGCGGAGGCGCGGTCGATGGCTGATTTGGAGGTGGTGCTTGTTGC